TCCGAGGGCCCTTCCTTCCCACCCAGGCCCAGCTGCCCCCTTCCCCCTGCTCTCCCCTTCCTTTACCCTCCCCTCCCCTCCTCCCCTCCTCCCCTGTGCTGCCTCCCCCCTCCTGCCCCGGGGCCCCAGGAGCTCCTGGAAGGCAGCCCGAGTCCCTCCGCAGGAGGACGATGCCAGCTCCCTGACGGCCGACAACCTGGAGAAGTTCGGGAAGCTGAGTGCGCCCGCCGGGCCCCCCGAGGACGGGACGCTGCTGTCAGAGGCCAAGCTGCAGAGTATCATTTGTTCTGGTCCCCCCAGGCCTCCTGGTCCCCCCAGGTGCGCGGGTCCCCAGGCAGGAGGGGCGGCAGGTCTTCCCCCGGAACTGCACCTCCTGACACAGCCGTCCTCAGGGGCTCGAAATGGAGGAGGGGCCGCGGCGCCTGGAGTCTGCGTCTGAGGCAAGCGCGTCTGTGATGCGGCTGAAGCTGGAGGTGGAGGAGAAGAAGCAGGCGATGGCGCTGCTACAGCGGGCGCTGGTGAGCACCTCGTCACCCCACACGCCCCCACCGCCCTCACTCACCGACCGCCCCTTACTTGTCACCTCCAGTCCCCACTGCGCGTCCTGCCGTGGGCCATCCCCGCCTCTGTCCCAGGCTGCCCTCTGCGTGTGGTCTGAGTGCCGCCCCTGAGTGGTCCTTATCTTCCGGGTCCCCCTCCCCACACCCCCAGGCGCAGCAGCGGGACCTCACCATCCGGCGGGTCAAGGAGACGGAGAAGGAGCTGGGCCGGCAGCTGCGGCAGCAGAGGGAGCACTACGAGGCCACCATCCAGCGGCACCTGTCCTTCATCGACCAGGTGAGGCCACCCGGGAGCCTGGCGCAGGGGGGGTCAGGGCCCCTGGGGTCAGGGTCAGGGTCAGGGACAGGGTCAGGGTCAGAGACAGGGCCTCGGGGAGCTTCTAGGCCCACGGCCTTCCGGGCGGGTGTGTCGCCCCCTCTGGAAGCGGGCATGTCTCCGCCGCGGGGAGAAGGTGTCCACCGCTCGATGGGCCGCGGGCGGGGCCTCACCTGGGCGCACCTCCCGCCCGATGCAGCTGATCGAGGACAAGAAGACCCTGGGGGAGAAGTGCGCGGCCGTGGTGGCCGAGCTGAAGCAGGGGGAGGCTCCTGCCGACGCCCGTCTTCTTGCCGGTAGGAGATGAAGAAGCTCAAAGAGCTGATGAGCGCGACGGAGAAGGTGCGCAGGGAGAAGTGGATGAACGAGAAGACCCGGAAGATCAAGGAGATCACGGTCAGAGGTGGGCGGCGGCTGGCCAAAGAGCCACATGTGGCTCGAGAGCCGTGGTTTGTTGACCACGGGGCTAGTCCAAGGCTCACAGCCCTGCCTCCTGGCCCAGCATGGTGGGCAGCGGGCGGCGACCAGGTCAGGCGGGCAGGGCACACCTGGAGGGCAGCTCAGGACCCACGAGTGGGAGGTGTCCGCGGGACCCACCCCCTGAGCCGCTCCTGACCTTTCTGGCCGTTGAGTCCTGGGCGGCTGCACCCGGTGGCAGCTGGAGGCCCCGGTGAGGGCTGCGAGCTCCCAGCTCGCCCTGCGCTCAGCCCCGCCTCTGCCGGGTCCTGTTCTGGGCAAAATGCAAGGTCTGTGAGGAGAGGGGGGAGCCCAGAGGGACCGGGAGGCCTCAGTG